CGTCGTCGTAGTAGTAGTAGTAGTAGTAGTAGTGGTAGTGGTAGTGGTAGTGGTAGTGGTAGTAACGGCAGCAGCAGCAGAAGCAGCAGCAGAAGCAGCAGCAGCAGCAGGAGGAGTAGTAGCAGTAGTAGTAGTAGTAGTAGCAGCAGCAGCAGCAGCAGCAGCCGCCGCCGCCGCCAGTGCGGCACAGTATGTAAAAAAGGCAACATGCCGACATAGGAAGTGTTTGCTGCCATTCTCGGCTCCAGCAGCTTAGACTTGCCCAGGATGGCAGGGAACTAGTGAAGTTGAAGATGGTCCGGGGCATGGGTGCCAGTTCGCAGTCCCTGTGCTGCGCCAGGTCCTTTACTTTACGGGGTCTTCTGCTCACACCCAAAAATGGTCGCAGTGTTGCTGCCACCCTGCACGGTGTATGCATAATCATGTCTATCTTTGCAAGCTGCCCGTCCATCCAAACGCAACACAAGCTGTGGCTTGCAGCCGCAAGAATCCAAAAAGGTGCATAACCAGTGAAGCTGGCTCAGGTGCTGTGTGCCATGCTGCCCACGAGCAGGTTGCCTTAGCTCCTGCGCATGCGGTGCATTACACGTTGGATGCACCCCTCAGGAGTTGTTGACGGGCAAAAGCAGTGGGTCCCACTGGCACGAATTGCATCTTGGGCAAGTAAGCCCTCTCAGTTCCAAGCCCTACGTCCCTAAAACCCTAACTCCAAACCCCGCCTAAGCCCTGTCGGCCTGAAAGGATTGAACTGAGACTTCTGTCAGGATGGCTCGGCTTCCTTCCCGGGCCGGGTGCTTGTCGTCCGCAGTATGGCATTCTGTTTCCGAGTGCTTCAGACCTTCCTAAGCAGTACTATCTCGTATACCATGAAATTTATGATAGAACAAATCCCTTCCACGACGTACTGACATACATCATTTTTGTACAATATCGGGGTGCATTTGTTTTGCTTCATACAGTTTGCCTGAGTGGTGCGAGGGCAAGAAGCTGGCAGCAGCTGCCGCACGGGGAGCCGGCCCGGCCTCCAAACTACAGCCGGCGAAGGTCCGAGGGTTAGCAGCAGTGGTAATGCTAAGATTCATAATTTAGAATACATAATAAAATGGTCGTAATGTTCACAGCAAGAATAGTGATGATGATAATGACAATCATAATATTAATGTGATCATTATGGTAGGAACATTAACAATATCAGTTATCGTTATCGTAATTCAAACAATCACAGTAATAATGATGATACTGACAACAGTAATACTAGCTCTACTAATAATGAACTTTTCTCATCATATCGATTTTCCACAGATCTGCATTGAAAGGTGGGCAAAGCAGCCGCTCTTGTAGCACCGGCGTGCCCGCCAGGCCTGCTACTGGTTCGGCTTCGTGCCTCTTTGCCGTAGGCGACTCTGTGTTAGGAATGCTTGCAAAATCGCATGAGGCTGTGCCGTGGTGTCAGCAGATCTTCTTCATCATCTTCAGCAAGAGGCCTCACGAAACACTCCAATGTGAACAATATGTAAAGACAGTCAGTTTGCATGCGGTGCAGGTTGGAGTAAAGGCAACAGCACCGGTACGCCCCAGTGCCCGCCATCGTCGCTGTTGCTGTGCAACCGAGATGCTCTTTCGAAACCTGTCCCCTGCGCAGCATGAGCCGAAATACGAAGCTCGCCATGAGCTGAATAGCCGGCCTGTGCAGTCCTCGGACCTCGGAAGGAAGTCTGTTCTTTCGGCTTCGTGGGGTTCCCAATTCTGCTCCAGGAGCCCAGCAAGGCACAAGCTCGCCCAAAGCGCCAGAAGGACCCAGGCACGCGCCAGGTTTCTTGGCACGTAGCCACCGTGAGCTCGGCCCGGTGTCCAGGCAGCCAAGAGGTCCTGCCCTTGAAAGCCGCAGCCGTCCTCCATGATGAGGTAATCACTCTGGATCGGGAGTTAGGAACACAACACAATGGGACCCTTAGTGAGCCTTGGTGGGATGCTCTATAATGCCGATCAACTGCTCAGAGAGAGGTTCCACCACCACCGGGCGCCCACCATGCCGGTGTTGGCCGTGGCCTTGAGCACAGGTGGCGAAGTCATCTGCCATCGTCATCGAGATTGTTCGCCGCATGACTTCGTTTACATTGTAATGTACGGCCAGGAGTAGTCGTAGTGGCAGTCGTAGCAGTGGCAGTAGCAGTAGCGGTAGCGGTAGTGGTAGTGGTAGTAGTGGTAGTAGCAGTAGTTTTAATGGTATAAATAGTATTAATGGTAGTAATAGTAGTAATGGTAGCAAGAGTAGCAATAGTAGTAGCAGTAGCAGTAACAGTAGCAACAGCAGCAGCAGCAGCAGCAGCAGCAGCAGGAGCAGGAGGAGCTGTAGCAGTAGCAGTAGCAGTAGCAGTAGCAGGAGGAGGAGTAGGAGTCGTAGTAGGACTAGGGGGAGAGTAGGAGGATGTAGTAGTCGGAGCAGGGGCAGGGGCAGCAGCAGCAGCAGCAGCAGCAGCAGCAGCCCCTGCCGCCGGGGTCGTCGTTGTCATAGTCGTCGCAGTCGTAACAGTCGTCGTAGTCGTCGTAGTTGCAGTCGTCCTGGTGGTGATAGTGGTGGTGATGGTGGCAGTGGCAGTGTAGAAGTGACAGTGGCGGCAGCAGGGGCAGTGGTAGTGGCAGTGGCAGTTGAAGAAGCACGACGGCAACTAGTGCTACTTCGACAACGCCTGCTACTGCTGCCGGTATCGCCACTGCTGCTGCTGCTGCAACTGCTATTGCTGCTACCTTATACTACCATTACTACTGCCCAGAAAACAAGTCGATGAAGACCCCCAATGCCTGCACGACTTGACAACTGTCGACCTGGTACGACAGCTCGCCGAAGCCGCCGTGAGTGGTACCTTGGTGGCTCGCTTGCCCGACCATGGTAGGTTGGTTGCTGTTCGGAGTTGTGTGGCTGCCTCAGCTGACCTAGGCACCGTGCAGGCTGTGGAGGAGGCAACGTGATCAGTGGACAAGTTATTTTGTTTTTTTGATAGATTGCTACTGAATGACTGGACAGGGCACGCAGACGTCCTTTGAGGAGAACAAGGCTCCTGAGACGACTACATGCTTGTCTGTCTTGTTGGAAGCAGCACTTGTCTGCTTCTCAGGCGGGCGCACCACCTCCCAGACCGCAAGCTGCGCCACAAGCTGGACCGCTGCCCACTTCGGCTCGTCGGGTGCTCACTGCACGGGTAATAACTGAAAGCCTGCCGGATTCTTGCACACTGGCGCAGGAGAGGGCATCGAGATGCGACCGACCTTGAATGTAAACAGGCACCGTGTGGACGGCGTGACTGAGGCAGTGCGCAGTGAATGCAGATGGGTTCTGACTGTTCTTGCATCTTTCGCTCATCGCATAGAGGCCACTCCCTTGCAGCATGATGGTATGCTGGCGCCTCGCCAGGCAGTCTTGTTGGAGTTTTGTGGGGAAGCCGCAGACGTGGCACCAGGGGTGAAATCTGACAGTAGAATTGCAAGGCGGCGGTGGCAGCACCAGCAGCAGTAGCTCAGCCTCAGCCCGTGGAGTCGCACCCTCATATTATGTTTGCAGCGAGATTTTCTTGTGATCCGGGCTCACAGAGTATGCTCTGCCTGCAGCAGGACTTCGCAAAACTATGGACGGTGCGATCCTTTTCACTTGGATAGGCGAGGAGTCACATAGCGATCCTGATGAATAGAACAGTCTGGTTATCTTGCTGTCAGGATTACCGCCGAGAAAGAACGTGATCGCAAGAGGCCAAAAGTCAGATAGCTACTGTTACTACTATTATTGTTGGCATTATTGAAATTGCTGATATTATTAATATTGTTCTGGGTATGAACTCATCGGCTCGCTCGGCTCACAGCCGATCCGCGACTGCAGGGTCCAGGCCCAAATGCTCGCGGAGCAGATTCAGGAGCCGAAGTTCCAGGGCTCTGGCACCTTCGCTGCTCGTGACATGTGGGTAGTTCTCTAAATTGGGGTCCCTCTTAGGGTCCTGTTTGTAAGGGTACCGTACTATTTCGGGAACCTAAAAAGGGACCCTAATTTAGAGACTTGCCCAAGTAGACTCTTTGACCAACTCCTTGGGGCTCTCCTTGCCGCATCTTCTGCTTTTTCCTCTTGCCCGAATTGCTCGGCCAGTTTGGCTCAGCAGCCGCGGCGTGCTGTTGCCATGATTGCTTGGCGAGAGACACGGCAGTGCCCCCCACGAAAAGCGAGGCTGAGCCAGCAGTCATGTGGTCAAATAATGGCACATGGCCTCGTAACATCTCGTAGCTTGTAACTTTGTGGATGGCGCCGACGCTTTGCCATGGATGGAAACTCCTGGGACTTCAAGGCCCGCGCCCGCTACTAGCCGCTACAACTCCTCATGTGTAAAATGCGGCTCTGCAGGAAGGCCTCGCGCGCTGCATCGAATGTGGTCTGAGACCCGCTGCCTGCAGCACGTTCTGCAATCATCGCAGTGTTTTTCAAGGTCCAGCCTGGCCCGCACACAGCAAGGGCGTATCTCTCAGCATGCCGGCTGAGTGGTTTGGAGCCGGGCGGAGAGTGGAATCTGCCTTGTCCAGGATGCACTCGCACTTTCACTGGTGTAATTCCCCAGAGGTGCTGCTTGATTTATCATTTTTTGGCTTGAGGCATCAGAAGGATAGGAGGGACTGGCACATTCCTCTCTGTCTTTTGACGGTTCAGACTTGATTTGGTTGCCCAGCCGCCCCCTGCTTCAAGACGACGCTTTTGACCTCCGATCTGCCGCAGGCTGTTTGGTTCAGTTGGTGTAATTTAGGGAGCTGTGGAGGCAACCAAGGCCCTGAGGTGCCACTGGGCCGCAGCGAGACTCCAGCGCTTTGCAAGTAAGTTGAGCAGCCCAGCTTCCGGAACTTTGTAGTGGCTTCTTACACTAACCTGTATAGTAGCCCTTGTATGTAGCAACCTTGGAGTAACCATTATCTGCTGAGTTGGCTTCGAGGAAAACAGCCTCGATCCACGCTCCGCTTGCAGTGAGGAGGCCCGTTCTGCGGATTGCACAACTGCCTTCAGGCGAATTATTTCTTCTGCACAGCCCAGGACGGCTGACTAAGCACCATGGATGATGCAGTTTTCGTGCGACTCGGCATGCTCGGTTTTTTTTGGTGACCACGCCGCTCAAGCCAGACGTGCTCCAAGAGCCTCAAGATGCCTTCTGCGCTGAGGTTCGACACTGAAAGCGAGCCAGCGACGAACTTTGCCATTGCAGTCGCTTCCTCAGGAAATCGTAGACAAATCACGGATATCTACCATGCCAATCATGAGGTGTGGAAGTCGCTGCTACTTAGCTGTGACAGACAGAGATCTTGTTCCTTGCATCGTTCATGACAGTCTTGATTTCTCGCCTGCCAGCTCAGGAAAGCATGGCTAGGTGTCTCTTTCAGGGAACCACAACCGGGCACAAAGCAGTTCGAGGTGAAGGCCAGGGTGCGAGTCTTTACCGTGGAGGTTTCAGAAAACAAGGGACCTCAAATAGCAGGATCCCTACTGTAAGGGCCTCTGAAAAAGGGGTACCCGAATTTTCTGAAGCCTCCACATCTCGTTGTCATTTGTGGAGCCCCTGACTCTGAGACGTGCTGAAGAACTCAGGCTCCGAACACAGTCATCGTCATAACACCCAATATCTTCAAGAACGACGTCGTCAGGGAAGCGCCCGAATCTGAGATCTGTCTGCTGGCATTCTCATCTTCTTAGCTACAGCCAGCAAGATACTGGAGCTTGCGGCAGATGACAGGTATGAGGCAGCAGCCACGACGAAGAAAAATGCTTCGTGGCTGCATTGACATTTCCGGCATCCTCCTGCCAGCGTGAGGGTGCCGTTTTGTTTTTGCAGGTGGTCTTTCTTCACCACATAGCGTCTGGCTGCAACCTCAACGAGGAGGCACGTAATGGTGGCATTCACGCATCTCTGCAGGTAGCAGGTCACAGTTCAAGAGTGACACACCTTTGAACCATTAGTATAAGTTGTGTAACGTAGTATAGAGAGCAAAGACCCACCAAGAACTGTGTATTCATTTCTTCTTTGATAGATAGATATAGGTAGATAGACAGACTGATAGGTAGACCGATGGACAGAGACATCAGCGCGGCACCTGTCAGGCTGAGCAGGCGCCCGAGGAGTTGAAGAAGTCAGTGGACAAGATTTTCAAAGACAAGAGATATGTGATCTATACCGAGGAGACCATGGAGGGAACCCAAAGGGGGTTACCCTAAGGGCTACTTAAAGTTTATAAGGAATATTCCGGGGGGGGGGGGTGTATACCGCCATGAATCACACGAGTTTTGCAAGAGCGCATGGTAAGCTCTGCGAGGATCTCAGCGAAGAGTGCAATGACATGCTCATGGAGAAACTGAATCTGCGAAATGCAGACGAGATGAAGGCCACTGGTATCTAATGTAAGAGCCTGAATCTTTACAAACACTATGACTTAGGGCTCCTTTATAGAGCTGTACTGCAACATACCCCAACAAACCTATCCCAGTTGCGAAGGCGCCTGTCTCTTGCTGATCATCAGTCATTCTGGTTCTTTCTCTCACAAGGTTTATCTTACAGGACGTCCGGGAGGTTCAATGTTCATAGCGTCCTTTCGTTTGAAACTCCCAAATCTCAAAATAGGCAAAGGCTGGATTGGACAAGATTTCACTTCCAGTTGGACGTTTGGATGAATCTGCCAAAAGCCCGGACACATCTGCGTCCACAGTCCTGCTGGCAGAAGCAGAGCCGTGGCATACAACTCGAACTTGGTGGAGTGCTGTGTTTGAGCGCTCGCCTGGTGGTTGAGACAGACAACCTCCTGAAACTTGCTGTGTACTACTCAGAGCCGGACCTGGAATGGCACCATGCTTGAAGGAACCAACTCTTCAGACTTTTCAGGGCAAGGAGTCAGAAACAGCAAATGGCCGAAAGGCTGCACAGCAGCCTTAACGTATCATTTCCAGTTGTCATCTTTCCAATTTTTTAAAATTGTCATTAAGAAGCTAGTGTGTTAGTGTAGCCAATATTCGCTCGTTTTATGATTACATCTCTTTGCCGTCATGCAGGCTGCCTACGAAAAGCGCGCCTTTCGCCGCAACATTGCGGCTTGGACCGGCAGTCTTGACCGTGCGTAACGGCAGGTTTCATGAGGCTCGGCTTCGCGAGCATGGCCGTGGATTCGTAAACGCAGCCGAGGATATCATGAAGTACAGCGCCAAAGTTGCCAAGGTTCGCGGATTGCAAATTCGTTCATCTCTGGCAGACATGGCATGTTGGCATACATGCCGGTTCCACTGGCCCACACGAGGCACGCACACAAGCGGGAGTCAAGCGAAAGTACGACCTCTGCATCACAGCAGCCAATGTTGAGCATAGTCCCGATGGCATGCCCGTGGCCACTAAGTTGCAACTGAGTGGGTTACAGGAGCGGTAAAGGGGACGGACCCGAGCTCAGGTTGACCGCTTGTTCACGACAATGTCAAAGCTGGCACCGGCGCTCACCATCGGCCGAAACTACGGTGACAAGGCTGGAAGCCTCCAAGCCCTTCACTCTACCCACCTGTGCCGTGACGATCAGGTTTCCAATGCCGATGTGAGACATTCCTTCAACATTGTCGTTGTCCTGACCAAGGAATCCTCTGCATCAATCCGTACCTGTAACTTGAAGCTCGCGCACGGTCGCAGGACGCGCTCACCTGCCCAGACTTGATGGGCGAGCTCAAGTCTGCTTTGGAAGCTGAAGCGAGCATTCTCATAGCCGGGACCTTCGCTTCAGAGCCTCAACGTCTGCTTCGATCGAGGTGACCCCAAGCCCTTCCTGATAAAATGGTCTGGGCCCCGCAAGGTCCACGATCTCTTGAGTTGTCCAGACCTCAAGGCCGAGATCGAAAAATGCGAGGACTGTACTGAAATAAACACATAGTCTAATCCAGTCTATCTAATCTACTGTACTGTACTGTAATGTACTATAAGACTATAATGTAATGCAAAGTAAAGCAATGTATTGCAAAACCTTTCCGTATCTCTGACATGCTTTTCCTGCATTCTCCTGACTATGGGTAGGGAATTAAGGGTTACATACTCCGCTGTCACCTTTTCAGGACAAGGTGGTCGCATCAAGCTTGATGCGCTCTGCGAGATTCGTCTACATGTCAGAGGCCGTTTATGTGTGTGTGTGTGCATACATGCTCGTGAATTCGTGCCATAAGGAACCTCAGATATGCAAGTACGTTGCATGTGATGGAGGTCGTCACCAGCGTTGTGCTTGGAATCTTGTCGCCCGGCACGGCCCGCTCCTCGCAGCCCAAATGCCCGGCTGCTGCAGTGCTGATCGGCAGTGCCACTGAAGCTTCCGTCTGCTGCAGATCAAGACGGATGACGCAAAGTCTCCGCGAACAAAGCAGGCATTGTCCTCCGGAGGTGCGAACTTGAAACATCCAGACATTGCCACGGCGGTTTTCTGTTCGGCGCTCCGGCAGGTGGGAAGCAGTTCCGGCTGGAGTACAAGAACTGCTTCGCTCTGGACCTGGCCAAAGATGGTACGGGACAGGTTTACAACACCAAGCCACCCGACTACACAAGTCCTGCTCTGCAGAGATGTTTCCTTACTGGGGGTGGGGGGGAGAATCTGACATGAATGGACAGTCATGTTCTGCAAGGTTCAGCGACAAGAAAAAAGACTTGCCGGGCGACATCGACTCGGCCATCAAAGCCCTGTTCGAGTTGTATGATCCGGCCAAGAAGGGCCACTTGCCAAAATTGACGGATCTCCACTTCTGAGCAGTCTTACCTCATTTCTCAGCCCTAAACCCTAAACCCTAAACAGCCTGAAAAAAGGGGTGCAACAACAACACCGAAGCCCTATCTCAATCCAAAGGAAGCATTGGCTGGCCGCAGTTTGCGGAAGTCGATCGCATCGTGACGGAATGCTTGGGTGGCCAGTACGAGGAGATGATCTCTCGCAGAGCCTTCTCCATGATGAACTATCCAGGCCCCAGCACACATGTGTGTACGTATATGTAATTTTATATATATATATACATACATATGTATTTTTTCATGTATATGTTTTTTGTTTGTGAATACATTGCTACATGAAGAAATGAATGTTTCAACACTTGAGTGTATTAGCAACGTGTACACGTAGCGAGATAAAAGCAGAGAGAGGGAGATGCAGATTGAGAGTATCTACTTGTGCAAGAGCCCGATGTTCTTCGGACATGGCAGGGCTCACCCTGGAGTCGGAGATCTCCTTCACCACCTTCCACAACTACCATGCAGCGGGCCTAAGACAGGGATGCTTTTTTATCATGATTCACTCCGAGCCTTTTTCTGCGAGGCCTTCGTTGCGAAGCAGATGGGTGCGTTGGAAGGCACCTGGTGCAGATGGCCAGGTCAAGCTTCAACATGCCCGCCCTGCAGGTGACAGAGATTCCAGCATGCACTACAAGTACATTGTGGACAAGGTGGGCTTTGGGATGCTCTTTCGTGGGCTTTGGCTTCCGGCACGTAGCTGCTTCAGTACATCTTTCATTGGCCAGGTGAAGAACTCCAAAAAGGGCAAGCGCTTCTTGAAGCTCTTCGACCTGTGCCCCAGGGCTTCCTATCCGTTCCGTTTGGGCAGGAGGTCGATCGTAGGAGGCGTGCACCATCCGATGTTGCAGAGTCAGAAGCCTTCAACTTTGGCCTTTGACGGACGAGAACGTCTGGGGATGTGTGGCCTTGCTGATGAATCTTGTGCACATCCTGCTGCTGGTACTGGCATTAACTACACAGCGGTTGGCAGCAGTTTTTCTGGGCAAGTGGCAGGTACATCGTCCATGATGAAAGCAAAGAGTCCATTGCCTTCGCCAAAGCGCTCAAGGTGTCCATCAAAGATCACACGCTTCGTGTCTCCATCTAGCTGTGGATTTGTTGGAGCGTGTTTTGTGATGCCAAGCCTGCGGGGTGGCTGCTTCGGCAACACATGATCAGATTTCTGTCAGCATGATTGCTCGAAAGATGTGTTGCTGTAGTGGCACATGTCTATCCGAGCACGGTCGGCGTGCTGGTCTCAAACATGTGCATTTGCTAAGGCCCAATGTTCGCACTGCAGTCTGCAACGAGAAGGTTCCCGGAAAGGAGGACATGCCACCTGGCTGGAAAAAGGAACCACGTGTAAAGCAATGACACAAGCAACAACACTCGCAAGAAGAACACTATCACTAGCAGCCAGCATACTGCAACAGCAATCAAAGTCACAGCGGTGATGATAGGGGGTTTCCTCCGTCGTCTTGGTCCTCGTTCTCGTCCTCGTCACCAACAACAGCAGTCCTGTGAAGAAGACTGATTAGTGGCAATATTTATCATGTTTCTGCATCTTTGCAGCCCTCAGTCCACACTCGGTGTCCAGTGTTTTGCTGGCTGCAGCTTAGGCAGCGCACGCAGATTGCAGCGCAAAGTCTGAACGTTCTGATTCTGCTCCAGGAAGACTGCCTACTAAAGGACTGGCTTAAGGGCTCTATCAAGCTGGATGCTTGCAGCGAGCCAACCACCGACTTAGCATTCAGCATCCGCACCGACAAGGAGGAAGTGGCCAAAGATGTCGTCGCTGGAGCAAACGAGGCTGCACAGCAGGAGGTTTGAAACATTCCTCACGAGTGAAGCTTCCCCTGCCCAGGGCGCCCAAATCCTGGTCTTGGTGAACATGGAGAACAGCCCGATCCTGGAGAAGGCGCTTTGAGCGCCGCACTTCGCAGAGAACTGCTGCGTCAGAACTCAGGAAAGGAAGAAGGCGACTCCAGAGGTCCAGACGGCCATGTCAAGACCTCCCGTTGTGGAGTACTGGAAGGGCAGCGACCAGGAGGGGCCTTTCTGAAATTTCTCATCCGAGCGCGAAATGATAGAGGTAAGAAGCTCCAAAAACGCAGGCATGCTGCGTCAAGCTTCTAGACCTGATGTCCTTTCCCATCGATGCGAACGCGAAGCGGCCACTGCCGAACAAGACTCTCAGAGCAAAAGTGTCAAGCTTGTCCTGGTAGGCCGTCCCACTCAGGCCATCTCCAAAACCAAGCTGCCGTTCCCCTCTGTGCGTAAGTCAGGAAAGCGACCTTCCGGCAGAAAGAAAATCCGGTGGTGCTTTTCCTGTACCAGCAGTGCGAGGAGGCACCTCCGGCTTTTGCTTGGAATTTTGAGTTATGGCTTAAGGGTTAAAGTGGAAGACTACCATAGTCACGAGGCCCAACAGGGCTTCCTCCTTTCAACATCCCCCTGCCTCTGTGCGGCCTTGCAAGTCAGCACCTTGCAGGATGCGGTCGCTTCTCAGGCCATGACCGCCTTAGCAAACTTGGTCAGTCCAATCAGCCACTGTGCTATGAAAGAGCCGAGAGCTTCAACTTGTGGTTCCCGACACATGCTGTAGATGGAGACGCCGAGTTTCTTCGCAATCCGAGGCAAAAGTGGTGACTTGACCAGGCCGGCATCTCACGCAAAGTTCCTTCCCGAGCTTTGCAGATTTACTGCCGCAGGGCCGAGTTTCTGCGAGATGGAGGCTGCGATGTTCTCCAGGAGCGTTTCTCCTCGCAGCTCGGCTGGGTGGCAAGATGCCGCAACATGCTCGTCACACCCTGGGCTCGAAGTGGCAAAGCGAGACAGGTTCCTCTCAGTCGCCGCTGTCGCAGAGCCTGCTGCACGATGTGTGGCGAACTTGGCAATGTACCCGCCTTGTGCCCGAAGGACCCTTTTTTGACCATGTCACAGTGACGCCGCTTGCATCCCATGCAAGTGCTCGCTGTGCAGGATGGCCGAACTGGGTACCGTCAAGACGCTCATCGAAGCAATGCAGGCCCATGTGGACTCGCCCAACCTACAGGCTGGCGGCGTGGCGACAGTGGATCGTAGATCGAGTGAAGTAGCACATGTCTCCTTTTTCGCCAGAACTTGCTATGGGTCAGGGAGATGCATGCTGCGCGATTGTGAACATTGCCCAAGATGACGTTGGCAAGAAGAAGGTCAACGAACTAGGCGCTTTCTCTCGGGGTTCGGCTGTGTTGGCATTATCTGGCGAGCTTCTTTTGCGTGCTTGTTTCCTAGTGGTGGATCTAGAGCTGAATTCATGACGATGGGAGCGCCCAGATTGCCTGCCCTCTTGCAACGCTTGCTGCTTGTCCAGGTGGGTTCCAGCAAATGCTGCAATCGCAGAAGAGGTTTGAGTACAATGCTGATTTCTGGGACATGCGCTGGGGCATGAAAGAGCTTGCCGAAGGGGACACTGTCATGGCATCTTTTCCTCACCTTAGCAAAGTGTTTGTCAGAGTGTTCTGCAGTGAAAAGAATGGAACAAAAGGTGGTGACCAAGCTCTTGGCTGGTCATGCTTGAAAAACACTTGCAATTCTGTTCACTGAGGTCAATTACCACGGCAAGGGACGCTGGGTCACAGGAACCATCACGCGAGTCAACAAGGGCAACGGCGCTTATGATGTTGATTACATGCACGGTGGCAACGACCGCAAGGTGCCCACGAACTTGGTCCGACCCAAAGACAAGTCAGCAATCTGGCTGAATGCTAACCCACTAAGCAAGGTAGTAATTCTGTGTCCGCAGCCCCTTGGTAGGGACTGTAAAGGGATCCTAGTAGATGGATCCATCATCAGCTGTCTAGATTCTTGTCCTTGCTCATATATGTCATATTGTCTAATGTTCTTCTATTCTAGGCCAGAATGAAAAGAGCGGAGTCGATTATTTGATTAGTCTACATGGCCATACACTATTTTTCCAACACTTTTCATGTCTAGTCAAGGATAGACTAGACTATATTTCACGACATGGTATACTGTTTCAAGTCAAATTCGGCTCTATTGGGCTAGTTTATTCTGTTCTGTTATATTAAAGCAGATTGGTCAGTATAGTATTGTATATCATATTACAGAATATTGTATTATACTCTGCGGCGAGTATAGCAGGATACAGCAAGCGCCGGTCTTATCGTATATCATATTACCATAGTATTTTGTTACACTTTACGGGTGGCATATCTGGATATAACAGGTACTGGTCTGGTCCGTTCCCTTCCATTCTATTGTTTACTATTGATCCCTGAGGGTTCCTTAGTAGTTTTGTCTTGAAAAGTCAGAACAGCGGAGCATAGCATAGCAGAGTACAGCATAGTATAGCACGGCGTCTGGCACATAGTATAGCACATAGTGTAATAAACATTCCAGTATATACTCTATTATACTACATTGTGTTGTGCATGAAATATACCGTGCTGGACGAAAGACGAACTGTGTCGAAGCGCGTTGAGAACACATCCTGCTCACAACAGCAGCAGCTGCACATGATATCAGATCCGAAAGCAGGCCAGAGCACAAGAAGCCCCGACACACTTTGGACCGAGCTGCGAAAGCCAACCTGGTTGACGGACAGTGCAGCGGCAAGCAACAGCATCGAACATGTGTCACTGTGTAGCCTCGCTGATGCCAGAATAACAGAGCAGAGACATGCTAGACTCCTTGCTGATCGGCTGTTCGAATGGCTGCATTTTCGGATGTTCTGTCAGGAATGTGTGAGCGTCACCTTGTAGTTCGGCTGCTTCACTATGTTTTGTATTTCAGAGCAGTCGTTCGGATTGTCTGCAGGATTGGTTCTGGCTTGAGCTGTGCGTTCTCTGTCTCGGTTCAGCCTCGGGAGCTCGAGCTAGCATCGCTACTGCAAGGACATGATCGACGAGTTCGTAGCCGTTTGGCAGTGGAAGCCGGAGGGTAAGCTTACGGAAGACGAGCTAACTCTGAAGGCCGACGGATTCTTGTTCCTGAAGCGAGAAGGCCAGGCTGCTGCAGGAACCTGGAACGTTGCAGAGCCCAAGGGCGGAGGCCGGAACTTGGTGAAGATCAAGCTCTCCGTGGCTGGGCTTTTCTCAAGGAAGGAGTTGAGTTTAATCTGCTACAAGTATAAGAAGAGAACCATATCATTTACTATAGATCTCTAGTACAGTAGTTGTCTTGAAATAAGTTCGTCAAACAAGAACCCAGGTAGAGCCTTTCTCATCCATTGAGATGGAGCGAATCTCCTTGACCACTCTTCGCTCGACAAGTGGGCCGCAGAGGGCAGTCCTCAAGGACTCTTTGGATGATTGCCTCTACGTCCCTGGGCTCTTGTTCAGGAAGTTAGCTTAAGTTACCATCATAGGGATTTGCAGTGGTTTCCTTATTATGGTAACTTCAAAAACAAGGCTCCGTAGCAAGAAAGCCCAGGTGGAGTACTTCGAGTTCCCGGAGGGCCTGGCGGATTTCAAGAAGCCGCCACCTCTCCTCGGCCGGAAACCGGACATCTCCCGGTCGGAGCAGCAGATCGATTGGGTCAAGACCGACGCGCCCCTTTCCTCGCGCTTGCTGCTGAGGGTTTTCATAAGAGTTCGGTTTTCATTTAATCTATTGTCAGGTATTCGTGATATGGGTATGGTATGCTAACCTGCCAGCCGAGTCAGCTTTTGTGTTGGTTTCAGAGCCCATCGCGCAAATGCACCCGTTTTTTCCGGGTATTCATGATAGATGATATGGTGTGCCTGAATCACATTCCAGCCGCCGAGGCCGTGGACGGGGCTGCCGGCCAACTTCAACACAAACTTTGCTGCAAGGCACGTTGCCCAAGATCTGCTTGGCTTGACCCATGCAACGACAAGTTCATGACTAGCTGACATGAAGATCCCGACTCCGTGTAGCCATGCCAGAGCACAAGGCACACCTAAGTACAGGAGAAAGTCAAAGGGTACGTTTGCACTGACTCGAAAGGTGGAAGGGCGTCGTCGAAATCACCAAGATGGGTGACTACCAGTTGAAGCTGGAAGCTGCGACCAGCTCCGTCTTGAGGCACGGACAGCCCCGTGCTCTCTTTCGAACCGAGACACATTCGCTCCTCTCTGCAAGGCTCAACGACAAAGTGGTCATCGACGGGTCCGGAGAATGGCAGGGGAAGCTCTTGGGAGGCTCCAGGGCTCCAGTCGCCGATGTTTTTGTTCTCTTTTCAGACTCTCCCCGGGTGCCGCTGGCTGCCTGGAGGCCCCAATCGAATCACAATGGATTTCTTCTCCAACGAGGACCGCTAAAAAAAAGACTCGTGACATGTTTTTGCGCAGCGCTTCTGACCAAAGCATGTAGCAAAGGCTTCCAAGTTCGTCCAGCTGTCGTATTGCGGGCCAGACACGGGAGACGAATGGACCATTATGCCCGTGGCAGTGCTACAGCACGAGGCTTGCAGGCACGAAGACTCGCAATGCCACTTCTGCTGGGAGCATTTGTGTCACTTGCCGCCCTCCACAATGCAGCTCAGGATTTGGAATCATGCCAGGCCAGATGCCATGCCCGCTGCAGCACTGTAAAGTCGAGCCATCTGGGGTGACAACTCTTGAGACCTGCTTTGGATGGAGGTGGTCCCAAAGCCAGGTTTCATCGCAGAGTACTTCCCCGAGGCTTGGGCAAGCTCAAACTAGACCAAACTTGCGGCAAAGTCTGCCTTTGGTAGAACCATACTTAGTTTCGAAGGCGGACAACTATCCGCAAGTCTTGGTAGGGGGCCTTGCAGCTAACAACCACCCTCAAAGTGCACCCAGCACGGCATGACAGCCGGAACTCCCGATACTGACTCAGCCCTGCTGTACCCTGCAGGCCTATGAGGATCGCGTCATCCCAGGTGGCATTGACCCAGACATTGTTCGAACGGAGAAGCAGCTTGACTTCGAGGAGGCTGGTTCTGCACCTTGCTTTCCTTTTGCCGCAGTACTGGGGCGGCTCTGTGCTGCCAGGTGGAGGGTGAGTGGCAAGGCCTTCCGAAGCGTTATGCCGGGCCCTTCACAGCCCGCTTCACAACGTCCGCCCCAGCACCACGGCCATGACTCACATGGAAGATGCCAGTCGTGTCCCGGCAGGTACATCAATGTCACGTGTGGCGATGCCAAGAAGGCCAAGTATCAGTTCATGCTGGAATCGGGCCGCTGGGCGACGATCGCGCTGTACATTGTGCCCCGAGATTGGTTGTCGATTCCTGCAGAAAACAAGGAGAGAAGGCGATCCTGTACATCAACGACAAACAGGTGTCCACGGAGGACAAGCCTGTGGACATCGAACTGAAGAAAGGCGAAATGACCACAGTACGGCATGACTTGATTGTACTTGATTCCTACACTGTCCTACATTCTGAGGAAGCCTGTAGATGCCAGGTCAGCACCTTGTTCGTGTTGAGTACTTCTGCAACACGAAAGAGACGCACGGCCTCTTGCTTGCAGCGAATTGGCTTTGCAGGGCTCACTAGGTACTGGTTGCATCATCGGTTCCATCCACTTCTCAACCCTAAACTGCCCTAAAGCCTGGAAGCCCCAAGACCCTAAAACCCCCAAAACCCCGAGCCCCAATTACTAAAACCCCAATGGCCCCAATCCCCAAACCCGGGTCCATCTGCCTCAGGCCTCAAGCTCTTCTATCGCGGGCCCGAAACGATGCCAAAAGTGGAGGACGGAGAGGAGATGCCCGAGGCTTGCGGTGACAAAAAGCAGAACATGTAGCTTGAAATTAATTCGTTACCATGCGCAAAATGTTGTTCTGATATACTAGAGTGTCTTCGCATGTACAATAATGTATTGTAAGGTGCTACAGTAATTACATTACAGTATAGTATAATATACTAGAACTGGATGACTTCGCCTTCACAAACCTCCTCGCACCTTTGCAGGGTGCTGGCAAGATCCTCGTCCCACCGACAGCCACGTGTCCCTGGGCGAAAGATGCTAAGTTCTACAAACCTCCACTTCACGCAACTGGCCGCGAGTGTGCTGACCTTCTGTTTCTCTCCACGAGGCTACTATGCGCTGCCTTCCTGTGTGGTGTCCTGAGACACTGCAGCCAGTTGACGACCAGGAAGCAACTCGAAACGCCCACGCCTAGCTTCGAAAAGGCTCAGCCGAAGGGAGAGCCGCTCATGAAGCACGACAAGGACAACCTTCATGCGAGTTGGTTTAGGCTTCAGGGTTTAGGGTTGCAAGCGATTGGAGATTTTGCCTTGAAAGGCTGTTCACACGGTGCTCTGGTCAGAAGACGACTCTCGCATCGCATCCGTGGGCGGTGCCGGCAAGGTGGGATCAGCAACCTCAACCTCAAGCTATCGATGAACTCCAAGAAGCAACACATTGCATTTCATGCCCCGCACCCCTGCCAGATTCACTTCTGGGATCCACCGACAGGAGCTCCGGGTGTGCCAGGCTTTCTTGCTTCTAGCAACCCACCGGCTTCTGCACCCATTGAAAAGTTCGAGGGTCCCTAGCAAGAGGCTGGTTTAGCAGGCACCGCTAACGTCAGAACTCCGAAGACCTTGAGAGGACGGTATGTGGACAGTACCGATGTCGGTGGTAAGATCACGACAGCAGCTGGTGGCAAGGACAAGATTGTCAGGTGCTCAGTCCGGGGGCTGGGTACATCAAGGGGCGCAGCAGGTGAAAGCTGCCGAAGCTCACGGCTTTTCTTGTTTGTGCCAGAACATGTCTGTTTTTGGGGGGTCAAAGGTTGGGGGGGCTGTTACAGGCACCACAGCGCCCGAACCAACTCAAGAAAACTGCAAGGGGGAGTGTCATTTCAAGAAGGTTTGCTTTTTGTTTGTCCGGCTATCTTCGCATGTGCTCAGTGGTCTGGCACCCGACATAGACATGCTGCGGAGCACAGTATTAGACCAGTGCGGATGAATCGCTGCATCATCCTGCATTGCATGCTGAAGGCCTTGGCTATGGATGACGATGATCGGGCCTCTTGACATGAGCTCTGTTGGGGGGTCCGATGCCGTTCATGTACCTGCGAGTGAAAAGAAGTACCCAACTCCTGCGCTTGTGCTTGCTCAGCAGTGTGTCGACAGGCCATCAAGATCATCGACTTTGCCGAGAAGAAGGAGATTCGAGTCCTGAAGCACGTGCCAACAGATGTGCCAGACGAGGAGACCCCTTTGCAGGAACTTGCGCTGTTTAATTACGGCTTCCAGTCCCAGTAGAAACCCCCCACACTAAACCCTGAAGCCCTTGAGAGCCCTCACGCGATCCCCCCTAAACCCTAAACCCCAAACCCTAGACCCCTGAACCCTAAACCCCAAACCCCCCGGAATCTCTCTGTTTTGAGGAGCCAGAAGAGCCGGAATATGACGAGAACGGCGAGGAGATTCCGCGGCCGGAGCCGCCCAAGAAGCTCGGCCCCCACGAAGGTCGGGTCCGAGCTTTAAAGGTTGAGGAAGGGTCTGTCTCTATCTCTGTCTCTCTCTGTATGTATATGTATATATATATATATACACAGAGAGAGAGAGAGAGAGAGAGAGAGAGAGAGAGATTTTGGCTCAAGTCAACCTGCCGCT